TTCATAGCCAGCCAGCACCAGTTGCAGGTACCTTTTTGCTGGAGCTGTTCTTTTTTTTTTTTTCCTTAAACCCTCTCTGTAGGTTGCTCACTGGCGCTGCCTAATTAGTCCCTGTGGGCACCTGAGTTTACAGCCCTGCGTTAAGGCAGCATCTGCTGATGTGTTGGTTCCGCGCCAGTACCGAGCCCAGCACTCTGTCCTTCCACAAACTCACACTGAAAATGATTCCTCTTAAGACTTGACTGAGCCCCTTAGCCTTCCCTCCTGGTCATTCTCTCCCTTTCTATGTTTCTTTTTTGGAGGCAGTATTTTCTTCTCAATGATAGTCCTTTCATTTCCAAGAGTCCTCAGAGTCCTCAACGTTTCGCCGCCAACGGAAAATCTGCTTCCATTTTTATGCCACATAAGCAGTTATGGTCTAGTTGTTGATCTGTGGTCAGAAATGGATAGGCATCACTTCAAAAGTATTTTGCCCTCTATGGTTCCCAAGAGCAATTGCAGGATTTTTTTTTTCTTAGCACTAAGTTTAGCATGTGAGTAAATTGTAATGTGTCACCCTGAATAACAGAGGCCATTCGGAAGGGTTACGAAACAGACAGTAGGGTACCTTCTTGTTTCTCCTCCCGGGAGGTGACAACACCAGCGTGGTTCTTACATTGCCTTTTACAATGGAGCATTTTCACAGTAGTTCCCTTTCCTATGGTTCTGGTACTTCCAAGGCTGGGGTTGGGAGGAGTCTACTTGTCTGCCTCAGAGCCTTTCTGATGACCTGAAGGTATTAACTAATGGATAAGGATAAAGCAAATCCCAGTGTCTTAAATGACTGGGTTATCTAAGCCCTGCACACATTCTCCTTGTCGAATCTCTTTTACTCTGCCTCCAACTGTCTTTTCATGAATTCACTCACTGTGAAAGCTAGGTACAATGTGTGAGCATGTTCAATCTATCTGGGATTTGGCGACACTAATGTAAACACTTCAATGTGAGAACTGTTGTGTGACTTGGGACAGAATGTGGCATGTGCTTCACATGTTCATGTATGGTGCTAGCTCTCGCTCTCATTCATGGACACATTCTGGAAATATAGGCACTAAATCTATGAAGAAAGTGTGGCATTTATTTACAGGGTAGCAATATAGATGGGAGAAAATAGTTTTCCTAGAAGTGATACAGTCCAGTAAGCAACATATTGACTTTGATTTCTATTAAATTAGGTTAAAGTCTGGTTTCTGCCATTTGACTGTAAATATAACCCTGATCAAGGCTCTTAAGAATAGTTACCTGTTTATAACAACCGGGACTATAAGGGCACTAAATTAACTGGGTTTTAAGAAGAATAAGATCCCACATATGATGCATGTTTACAGTCACCTCATAAATCTTTAGTAAAAATAGAGAATATGGTTGTAGGAAGAAATAAGACCAAAGCCAAAAATTTAATTCAGAAGGTAACAACTTGAAGTAAAAGCCTGGAAACCTGAGTTCAATCCTGGAAATTCATGTCAAAATGGAGGAGAGAACCAGGTTGTCTTCTGACCTCCACATGTGCACAGTGGCACATATGCCTTTCCATCACACAACAGTGATAAATACATTTCTAAAAGAAGAATAAAGACCAACAAAGTAAATCAGATCAAATTCGAAATGGCTGGGTAATATAGGAGTTCAAATCTTCCCTGGGATATTCTATATCTGTCTGTGAAGTCCAATAAAGTGAAGGAAACACTGAAGACAAATGGTTACAAGAAGGTATAATAGTCTAAGTTAGTGACAACCTAACTAAAAACCTAAAAGGGAGGGGGGTGATTTTAATGCTGAGTTAACTGGTTAAATAAGAGGAGATAGAGATGGAAAGGGAATGAAGACAGCAGTGTCGCTGATGAACTGGGCAGGAAGTAGTATTAAAAGAATGGAGATGCATGATACAGGGAGAAAGAGATTAATATTAGTAGAAGCAAAGATATAAGAAAACTCCAGATAATCTACCTTGGCCATCCAGACTCTGTAGGAAAGAAGGAAGAAAGGAAGGGAGGAAGGAAGGAAGAAAGGAAGGGAGGAAGGAAGGAAGGAAGGAAGGAAATGGCCCCAAGTTATCTGCCTGTCTCAGAAGCAAGATCACCAACATGAGACAAGCTCATGGATTAGGTGAAAATATAGACGTGGTACCCTGCACAGACATTGCTTCCTCTTGTGTTAGTAACAAAACTTCACCTTGCACTGAGATTATTCCCAGACCATGAGAAAGGCCCTGTGCAAATGAAGTAAGTTCTATAATAAGAAAAAACACACCTGACTGGGGCAACCTTGGTGAAGGTCTCGTGATGAGACCATGGGTTGGAGAGATTGTCGCCACACACAGGGAGCGAGATCAGTAAGAAAAGAATGAACTAAGTAGAATGGAAAGCCTTTTGTAAGGGGAAGTATGGTGGCCTTGTGGAGTTATTTTAGGGAAGCGAAACCCTCAAAGACAAGGCTGCTTCCTGGAAGTGGTTGAGAACAGGAAGGGTGCAGGAGCCTTCCCAGAACCTATCTTGATGTGAAGGGATTTCTATGTGGTGACAACTCACTAGCTAATTTGTCCTTGTGGCCATTTTCCTGAGGCACTAAAGGGTTTGCTTTAGCCACGTATGGAATGGTAAAATAGAACAGGTAGTCAGCCATTGGTGAGAAGGATGATACCACTTTTCAACACATTCAAGAAATATGAAAGTTAGGAACTAGCGAAACTGATCTGAAGAAGAAGGGCAATTCTATAGTCTCTACTGGGTCCTGCTCCTTGGCTGAGCTTCTTTTTCTGTAACAGAGAGGCTCTTCAAGAATCCCTATGTGATAACATTGTTAAAATCTGGAATATTACTGGGGATGACTGAGCTTTTTCTCATTCAAGTGAACTAGTCAAAAAACTTTTGGAGGCATAGCATCTCCTGCTTTGCCATTATAATCAGCATAGAACAAGGTTAAATTTTCTTTCAATAAATAAAATTGACTCGTTATTTTGCATTTTCAAAAACGCATAGAGACATAGACTCAGTGCTGAACTGTAATCAAGATATCTATCACTGTTTTGTCACCCAAAGCGATCCCTCTTCATGTCCCAACTGGTTCCCCTCCCAAATCCAGGCAGCCCTTAGTCTATTCTAAATCTACATCATAAGGTAAGACTCAAGGACTCTTTCTTGCTGGCATAATAACAATGCCAACACCAGAACAGGGTGACCATTCCCAATCTGAAAAGTCTCAATATGCTCCAAACCCCCATAACAATTGAGTGCCACTCAGAGGCCATTGTGTGGAACATTAGGAGTTTTCAGATAAAGATGCTCCAGCAAGGTCTACTGTAACTTTACTAATAATTTCCAAATTCTGAAACATGTTTTGTTCCCAAGAATGTCAGGTAAGTAATATTCCACCCAAAATCATAATATTTTAGACCAAGTCATATTTCTAATGCCAGGCCTGACTTAAGCTTTATAGGTACAGAAACTGAGGCGTTGAGGAAATTTGTGGAAAAAAGAAGAAAAAAAGTATTGCGTGGGGTTATAATGTTATAGGTCTGGAGTCATCCAGAGATTCACCAGTTTGACCATGAATAAATTTTAATAAAGAAAAGTTTTTATTAAATAGTGGCCAGGACCATAGATACTGGCCAGGACCATACTTGAGATGTATATCCAGAGTGTGGTGCCAGATTACATTAGCCAGGGGCTTATTAAAGCAGAACTGACAAGGCTACGTATTTTATACCTTCATCCAATCAGAGGCAAGCACACATCCTGATGTACTTCCTGCCTACATACTTCCTGCCTACAAGCGATGGAGCATACATGCTGTGCAATTGGGACAACCAAGCTTGTTTACCGAAGCAAAACCACACAGCTTGTTACCTTCCATGAACAACAGGGCCCAGCACTCCAGGAAGTCATCTGTCCTTGGGCAAGTGGGGCTTACAGGATAGGAGCAGTTTTGTTTTATAGATATCTTAGACACTGTAACTTAAACTTAGAGCATAATATAAGCCATCACAATAAAGGGGACACCTTCTGACTTGATTTTAAGACTATCTGACCCTTGGATCTATTTTTTTTTATTTTAGATGATCTTATTTTCAATTATGTGTGTATATGGTGGCAAGGGAGCTCATGGGGCAGTATGTACACGGGGGTTGTATGTGCATTTGAGTGCAGATGATGGAAGAGGCCAGTAAAGGGCATCAGATACTCCTGGAGCACTCTCCAGCCACCTGGATCTATTGTCTTATTTTAAATGATCTTATTTTTAAATGTGTGTGTATACGGAGCAGGGAGGGGGGCGATCCTGACTGGTATGTACATGGGGTTGTATGTGCATGTGCACAGATAACAGAGGAGACCAGAAGAGGGTATCAGGAACCCCTTGAGCACACTTAACTACTAAGCCATCTCTCCAGCCACCTAGATCTATTTTTTTTAACTTTGTTCTGACTGTGCCTTGTTAACATTCAGACAAGAGGGGAGCTGGAGAGATGGCTCAGTGGTTAAGAGCACTGACTGCTCTTCCAGAGGTCCTGAGTTCAATTCCCAGTGACCACATGGTGCTCTCTTCTGGCATGCATGCATACATGGAGGCAGAATGTTGTATACATAATAAATAGATCTTTAAAAAAAGATTCAGACAGGAGGACAGAGTGTAAACATTCTAGAAAGGTAGGTGTTAGAATCCTCATATTTTTAAAAATAGTAATAAGCATAGAAGAGGCTATCGGTAAAAAGTTGTTTATTTTTACTAATAAGGAAACTAAAACAATCATCAGATATAAGATGATAAGTCTATGATCCCAGAATGCCTTCCTTGTCACCTTTGTGAAATGTGGAGAAGATAAAGTCTAGAACCCTTACCATTTCTCACAGGCCTGTATGTTTGTAATGCAGAATCTAGACAGATTAGGTTCCTGTGCTGTAGCTGTTGCAACGCCATGAGCATCTGCTTCCTCAAATTCCTTCCATCTGTGGCTTGTATTTCAGGTTGGAGTCCCCAACCCGATCTCTGGTGATGGAAGCACCAAAAGGGGTGGAAATCAATGCAGAAGCGGGCAATATGGAAGCCACCTGCAGAAGCGAGCTGAGACTGGAGTCCAAGGATGGGGAGGTAAGGAGTAGGAAGGACAGGAATTCGAGTCCACTGACCTGAGGGGCCAACCTTTCTCCTAGGCTGGTTTGCACTGAGGATATTCTTACACAGGATCAACCCAAGGAGCCCACGAGGCAGTTAAACAACATGATTAAAAGACAAACCCATAGTACATAAGAGTTTTGGTTCATTGTTTATGAGGTGCCGGAATAATAGAACTGTGAAAATGAGCACTGTTTCCAAGTTTTCTCTCTCTCTCTCTCTCTCTCTCTCTCTCTCTCTCTCTCTCTCTCTCTCTCTCCCTCTCTCCCTCTCTTCCTCTCTCCCTCTATCCCTCTCCCCCCTTTCTCCTTCCCTCCCTTCTCTCATAGCCTTAAAATAAGATTTTTTTTCACCCACATAATTAAGTTGTATATCACACCCATGTGACTGAAAATGAATTTAATTTACATGTCATCATGTTATGTTTGTGCTTGGGTTCCTTGTAAGAATGGAAAGTCAGGTCTAATCACTACCCTGAGTCAGAACCAACCAGAAGCTAACAGGGTCAGAATAGATGGTCAAAGAGTAAAGTGTTGTTGACTCTCCTTACCCCAGCACAACCTCAGTCATGGGACACAAATGCCACTTGTCATTTTAGAGACAAATTAAGCCAAGTTCCTCAAGAGTCTGATTTGACTGCAGATAACAAAGGGATTTTTTTGAAGTGTACATAAGTGAACTGTTTAAGAATGAAACTAAAAGGACAGCCTGGCTTTTGAAGATCAAACAGTACTCCACCTTGGGTGTCTACTTAGAGGGTGCCTAGCTCGCTTGCATAATTACATCCACTCAATGAGTAGCTTTTTAAAAATGTTTGGTTTAGTTAGACTTTTGCTTTTTCTGTTTTAAAAGAATTTGTCTCATAGAGTCTCCCATCATAACAACCACTTCTCCAAATAGCCATGAACTGCAAGCCATGCTCATGAAAACAGAAACTGACTCATACAGGCAACTCATAGCCACTCAAACTTGACCTCTGGAGGAGGCAGTGATAATCAAAAACCTAATGACACCTTTCACCTCGGCTTCTGTTGAATATTAGTGCCACCATTATAAAAAGAAAGCAAGAGGAAGTCATTCACTAATCTTTTAATGGCTTTAAAAGATTCTACTGTCTTCTGGGAACTTCATATTGGCCATGGACATGCAATGCCCTGTAGTAAGGAAACCCATTTACTGTGACATTCCCACATTTAGTTGACTCTATGACACTATTCTTATTCTGCATATCACACTTTTTGCAAAATGCTAACATCAACTGATAAGACATAATCTTGCTAGATTATAGGTGTGTGTGTGTGAGTTTAGGATTTGAGACAGTCTTTTCTTAAGATTTATTTATTTTTGGGTGATCGCATCCCTCGCAGTCCTTATTTCCTTTTTCATTTTCTTCATCCTTCTGCTCCTCATTTGGACCTTGGGGGGCTCAGTCTGGTGCTCCAATGTGGGTCTCCATCTGTATCGCCATCCATCGTCGGATGAAGGTTCCCTCTAGTCTTGCCTTCTTTGCTCACGTTCTCTTTCTTTCTGCTTCTTGTTTGTACCTAAGGAGTTAAGTCCAGTGTTCCGATGTGGGTCTCTGTCTCTATCTCCATCCATCGCCAGATGAAGGTTCTGGGACTCTTGTCTATTTCCAATCTCCAGGCAGATAGCTACATGATTTTCATCAGGTTCACCTTCTTATTTAGCTTCTCTAGGATCACGAATAATAGGCTCAAAGACCTTTAATTATGGTTAGAATCCACATATGAGTGAATACATACCATATTCCTCTTTTTGGGTCTGGATGCGATCACCCACTGATACAAGGGGATGGATCTAATGAGAGTTCACCAAGGCCAGTTGGGCTGGGATTGAACGAGGACGCAATCCAACCAGATTCTCTGAATGTGGCTGGCCTGGAGTCTTTCTGAAAAGCCATTGACAATGACACTGGGACTTGTTTCCTCTGCATATACTGGATTTTGCAGATCCAGTCTGTCTGGACACTCACCTTCCTGGACCTGGAGGGAGGGGGGAGGAACTTGAACTTCCCACAGGGTGGGAGACCCTGACTGCTCTTAGGGATGGAGAGAGAGGAGGAGAGGGAGTGGGGGGAGTGGGAGGGTGGTGGGAGGAGGGGCGGAAATGGAAACTTTTATAATTTAATAAAATTACTTTTAAAAAAAAAGATTTCTTTATTATATGAGTGCTCTATCAACTTTATGCCAGAAGAGGGCATCAGATCCCACTATAGATGGTTGTGAACCACCATGTGGTTGCTGGGAATTGAACTCAGGACCTCTAGAAGAGCAGCCAGTGCTCTTAACTGCTGAGCCATCTCTCCAGCCCCATAGAGGCTGTCTTACCCCACTAACCAATACTGCTCAGCCCAAATCAGTACATGTGAGGTTTAAATTGAATGGAATATTCAGCTCTTTCTGAGCTTCAAGAACTTACATATGGCCGCTCTTGACTGACTCTTTCTTTCCTATTTTCTCTCTCTAGATTAAGTTAGATGCTGCGAAAATCAAACTACCTAGACTGCCTCGTGGATCCTACACACCCACAGGAACGAGGCAGAAGGTCTTCGAGGTCTGCGTCTGCGCCAATGGGAGGTTATTCCTGTCCCAGGCAGGAACTGGTTCCACTTGTCAGATAAACACAAGTGTCTGCCTTTGAAGGACTATCCATAGTGGACAATTGTCGGCAGCATAAAGGCCCCTTTTGGCTTGAGACACTGGCTGCCAGCTATTTTTACTAGAACACAGAAAGCCTATCAAAGACCTTTTGTGTGCGTGTGTGTATGAGTGTGTGTATGAGTGGGTTGTGTGTGTGTGTGAGTGGATATAAATATATATAAATATATATAAATAAATATATATATATCCTCTGTATAAAATGAGGTTTCAGTACAAAAGGAACCATGGGTGACCCTGTGACATTATCCACTGTCATTTTTTCCACCCCACCCCCATCGCCCACACGACAGAATCTAAGCACTCATTCAGGATCAGCATTCCCCCAGGCAATTTCCAATCACACAGTGGACTGAGCACTTACAGAATATCCATCAATATTTTCAAGTAATCACCTAGCTTCTCTCTGAGTCATTAGAGGCAGTGATGGCGGGAATCTTTGGGTCACTCTCCAGGGATGATATATTAGCATAAAAGATAAACATTTGACCCACTTGTAATCCCAGCCCCAGGCAAGTTGGAATGATGGGGGCCAGCCTGGGCTATAGAATGAGACTGTCTTAAAAACATATATATTTGGTTTCCCTTTCCTAGCTTCAGCCAAGCTGGTCAAGTTCTTCTCTTCAAGAAAAGGATAGGGTATGCCCATAGAAATTAGCCACAAAAACTCAAAAATGGCCACCCTATTATTGTAGACCAACGTATTAGGAGCTATGTGGCTAAATGAATGGGGGCAGGCAGGTTGAATTCTGAAAGAATGTAAGCCACTCATCTAACTTCTACTTATTCTACTTCCTTTAGACTCACATATCCTCCCACAGTCAATAAGCAAGAGCTTTGAATCAGCATAGAAGAGGATACCAGCTCCTCTGCCATAGCATAGAAGCTATTCAATGGCCAGACAGGCAAAGACTACATGGACGAGACATCTCATTTAAGGGAAAGCTGTCTCCCAAGCTTTTAGGTTCTCACTTCTGACTTTATCCAACAAATGAACTTTAAAAAAAAAAAACCTCATTAAACCAATCAGAATACAAAAGAGTGAACCCAGATCCCAAGAGATGTTATTTTAAAATGGAAATCTAACCAAGGGTACTATAGGGAAGCTAACTAATTTTCATAAGTTTCTTGAGATGAGTGAGCCATTTTTAGACATGTCATATTCTCAAGGGCTGGCATAAACTCTCTTGCTTTGCTCTTGTCTATTTTGTCCGTGCTGGGGTATTCCTATTCCAGAACTCACTGCTGTGTTTCTCTAGAAATCACAGACCTAAGATTCTACATGCTGCCAGAATTACTCATGGCAAATGAATATAAACCGAGTCATCTGTCCTCATCAGAATCACTGTGTCCCCTGGACTCAGCAGCACCCCATCCCCCTATATGGAAATAGTCTCTAATTCCCGCCATCAGCTACCTCTTATCACCCTACCTTCATTGCCATGCCCCAGGGTCACCCTGGCCAGCTCTTGTGCTGGGACAGGGGATTACACCATCTCTGTTCAAAGAGGGGGAAATGTGCCTATGCCTTAAGCCAATGCACTCAGCAAGGAGAAGCACATCCTATTTATCTTGTTACCTGTAGTTTATTTTGGGTGGTTGGAGGGAAATGGTTGAGTCAAGACTGAGCAGCAGAAACTGACAGACAAGCCAAATGGTTTCCACATTTGGACTCCGAATGGAGGGATAACTGGTTTTGCTCATCCTTGATGCTACTAGGTGAAGCCACGGCCCTACAATCTTGAAGGAAGTTGTATTCACAGGCCTGAGTGACACTTGTTTTTGTTTTTGTACTCCACACGGTTCTAATTTTTCTTACTCCACAAGCTGAACAGTTTGTTACAGGAGACAAGAAAGAGGTTCGCTATTTCTGATACGACATGCAAGAAACAGGCTGAGGTTGGCACCCACAGAATGTATTCCTCAGTTGCTTATTACCACAAAGCAGGGGCTATCCTAACCTGACCCATGACTTGGATTTCTGGCTATTAGGCCAGGCCTGGTTCCCCTCACTCTCTCTGTGTTATCTTACCCAGAGGCACTGGGTGGGTCCATCTTAGGGCAGGAACTTAAAATGTTTCCATTTGCAGTATGAGAATCTAAAAAGGGATTCTATAAGTGGTCTTAGGTCACTGAACCTCTTATAGGCCCTTTCTGCCAGAATCTGCCTATATCACAGACAGGTATCTTTTTCAAGACACAAAAATCCCATCCTAGCTATTAGAAGCACCTACCCCATATTCTTCAGCTAAACAATAACTCTGAAGTCCCTTGTGTCTAAGTATATAAAGAAGATAGCGTTGTTTGGTGGTGGTTGGAGGGGATGTTTCATTTCGTTTAAGAAGACAAATTGCCTTTCCATTTGACCATCTCACACCCATTGTCTTCGGATAAGAAGACGACCAAACAAAGTTCCCTGAACCGTTTCTGATTTCATTTATAACTGTGGGATAAAAGACCTATTCCTTGGGAATTTTATGACAATTGAAAATATGATGGTCACACATACAAAATTGAATCCTAGAGCAAACAAATCACACAAACACACAATAAAATAATAATTGGGGATATTAATCAAGAAATCCCTGGAGCAATAAATGATACAAAATTCTGGTTAATTCTGGCTGTCTGTTATGTTAAAGGACCACAGGATATCAGGTAATATGGAGGATCTCTGGCATGAGAAGATTACTTATTTCAGTTCAGACTAGAAACTAAGATGCATCCTTAATTGTCATTGAACCCCCCCCCTCAACCTACCCACCCAATGTTCTCCAACCAGAATATTTGTCCATGGTCATGAGAGAAGCTTTCGCCAGAATTCTGAGAGGGAGGTCAGCATTTATATTAATGTCTATTGCCCCTCCTTTTTGAAAATGGGAATCTTTCTAATCTTTATATACAGTGTCTTCTAGACAATCACACTCCTGTGTCTATTAACCAGCTAGTGGGATAACGGGATTCAAATGAACCTTCAGCATCTTAGAGCTTCTGGTATGCTAATATTCGTCAGAGAACATTTTACAAATCAAAATGTGATCTCCAGATACAATTATCATGTAGTTCAGTTCAGCACATCTGTTTGGCAAATCTTGGGAGTTTCATTTGAAGGGACTACCTCAAGATGACCTAAGCTTTGAAGAGCTCCATGGTCGTATCTATCTAGGTAGAAACTTGGTGTGTGGTTTCCTAATTGTTACATGACTAAGGAATAGCACTGAAAGACTCAAACTAGCTTTTAGCTTCCTTCATCTTATTCTCTCTCTAGACAAACCATAGACCAAAGAATACTTGAGGGTTGACGCTATGGAAGGGTCAATAAACTACAAACTGGAGACCCAAGTCTGGCTCCACAGCCACAGATATTTACATGTCGTATATGAGCCATTTCACACTGTACCCCTACCATTGACTTCATGGCCAGCAAACAACATTATGATTATACAACCCTTTGCAGAAAACATGTGCTGACCCCAGAGCTATAGGTCACCTGTAGAATGTGTTAGACATAATGGAACAGAAGGTGGATTTCTCAGGAACAAGGAGTAGCCTATGTTTCCATGGGGGCTTGGGAATATAAAACTTGGCTGAAGTTTTAAGAAGGACACATCTAAGAGAGAAGACAGCTCAGAGGACTCGGGGTAACCGAGAAAGTGGAATGAAAAGCAGCTTGGGAATAAGGAAGCTGTGTTCCTCCCACTCTATTCAGTGGGGCCTGGCTCGGTGTTTCTCAGAAGCAATGCTTCTCAAGTGAGCAATGCCTTACCCAAAGTGAGTCAAGAAGAGCCATCTCGATTCACAATCTTTTCCCTAAAAATACTCAAATCCATTTACACCCACAAAATCCGCATCTTCCCATGTTCCAGAGAGACTTTCATACCTAGTTTCTTCAGAAAATACTTCTGACCTTGTATGATCTCCATTACCTATACCTCCACTGTAGCCACTTGTTCTACAGCTCCAGGTTAGACCAATAAATAACCGGAAAAAAAGCAAAAGAATAACACCTTTATATAGGTAGGAATAAACAGTGAGATATTTTCTGTGGAGCCATTTCTAGAAGTGGCCAGATGAATGGTAGTTTGGTTTTGCTCTTCGGAATTTGGGTCTTTGCTCCCTTGGAGTGGAGGGAATACGGAAAGAATATGTTTCATCTTCACACACCTCTGCTTCTGTGTGGTAAAATCACTTGCTACCATAGGTCTTCCCCTTTTGCTGATAGTGGTGTTGTGCTTATTATGATAAACACAGCATCATGATAAGTGAACCTTTGTGGGTGTGTGTATTTACCTTGGAGAGGCAGGATGTGTTTCAATGAGACAATCTACCATTTGGGGTCCTTGATCTACATCACTACAGGAAAGCCCTCTGCCTTCCTCATGAATGCATTTGAAGAATCAAGTTGACCAATGAAATCAGACCCATTGAGAGTATCCTGGTTTTATTTATTTTAAACAAAAGATAGCATAATGCTTGGGCCAAAGGGTTGAATTGATCCATCTCTAAGTACCTGATCCTTTATTAAGGATCAATAAAAGAAAAAATCTTATTTATGTAAGTTGCAAACAAAGCCTGATCTTCCCTCCCTACACCACACACCTTAGGAAGTCTTAGGTACAAAGACAAGATGAGAAAGAATCAGTTCCTTGAATAATACACTTGCATGGCGCACCATTAGCAGGCAAGTGAGGGAAGAGTTCTAATGAAAGAAGCGACCTTGGAAAACAGACCTTTTATCTCAAAGATAAAAAGTCTCTCTTGCAGATTTTCATCACTTTTTCCTTGGAGGAAGGCTTCCCAGTTTCACCATATTTCCATGAAAATAGTGAAGCTTACTGCACTGGGCTGTCAGATGTATCTCTTTCTCTGTGGTAATCGGAATTTTAAACTGTACAGTTGCCTCTGAATTTCCCATTCACAAAACCATACCACTGATCAGTGAGAGAGCAGCCACCCGCCCGCTGCTTCAGGCAGCACAAGGCACCATAGGCATTAGCACTTTCTAAAGCAATGTGATTTCTAGAAGCCCGTAATGGAGTCCTTGAAACTTGTCAAGGCAGGTCTGAATGGCAAAGGGAAAATAATTGCTTGTGGGAGGTCCTCTTTCTGAGTTTAGGTAGAGCACACGTATAGGAGAAAATCCCCTGGGAACACCCACGCTCACACAGATTATTTAGTCCCTCCTTCCCCCATCTTGGAAGTGGGCAGAGTAAGAAATCAGTCTCTTCTTCTGAGGAAGAGAAAATGTCAAGAGCCTTTGATGCATAGGGAGGTTATGCCACAACACAACATTAAGAATGCCGTCAAACCCATCCCTAAGAGTTGCAAGAATAGAGCTGCAGCAATGCCAACTGCTGCCCCTTACCTTAAACACAGCATCAGGCAGCATCAGGACACACTTGGAGGCTACCAATTGGAACAGATCAAAAGATCTGGCCTGTACAGTTGCTACAGGCAAGAAGTAGCTTTGGAGTCCCAATCTACCTGTCCTACTAGGAAGTCAGAGTCCTCAGCCCAAAGCCTCATTCAGCGTGTTGCCATCCTCACTGACAAATATGTGACTTTTGCTTCCTCACTAAATACAACAAACTTGAAGCTGCCCTTGCTGAGGAAACAAGAAAGAAAACTGATGTTTAAGATTAAAAAAAAAATCTACCCCCTCCATACCCAAAGTGTCTTCAAAGCCCACTTTAATGGGCCTCTGCCACTGGAAGAAGAGAGCTCAAATTTCATAAAGTCAGAAAACTCCAAAGCAGACTGTTCATTTAACTGAGAGTGGGTTGTCTGAGGACTGAGAGGTGGCAGTGGCCAAGAGGTGTTTAGTGCTCCCATTAACCTGACTCATGAGATTCTAGGATCTTGAGGGCCATGGCTATTTCCTTTCAGAATGGGGGCAGGGAGAAGCTATCAAATTTTCACCACAAAAAGAGCCATGTCCTCAAAACTCATGCATAAAACAAGAGGTTTTCTTGGATGCACAGCCTACCCCAAGATATGAAAAGAACTAGACTCCACTTTCCAGGCGTTAATAGACTGGTATGTTAATATTCATTGAACTCTGCACTGGGCACTGCACTAAAATGCTCTATCTGCACCCATTTATTTCTTCCTCTGAACAGCGCTTTAGAGTTGAGCTCCCAACAAGGTTCCAGTTTACAGATATGGAAATTGGGACCTCAAGAGGTTAAGAAACTTATTCAAATCTACTATCTAAAATATGACCAAGCCAGAGTGTGGAGTCTCGTCCCTGGGCAGTTCACTAACATTCAAGTTCGTTTTCAAGTTGCTGGGGAGTGCTCCCCTCCTAGGTTTTAGATCAGACCTTCTAGAATGAAAGAGGCTACAGAACTTTCACATCTCCATTTTCTGTAGTTTCTTCTCAGGGTGGCCTACAATAGTAAATTGTGGGTATGTAGAATGGAGATGGAGAGAGCCTGTCTACATTACAGAATCTAGAACAACAATAACAAAACCAAGCAACTGCTTTGTTCTGGGTATGAGGCTTGTTAAGTCAGACTCCTAGTCCTTAGGACTGGAAGACATCTCAGTTGTGAGTCTCACATGTAGGAGAAAATCTGAATGCTCGGTAATGCATCTGTATGGATGAACAATGCTTTGTTCCCAATATATATTATTTCTTTCTCCCACAGCTCCCTCCAAAAATCAAATGTCTTATGTAAGATCCTTAATACTATTAGGCTTTCTTCTCTCCCTCTACTTCTAGTAAAATAAAATCATCAAGTAAGTCGGGGCTCAATCTCTATCACTGAGAACCACCTAGGACTCAAACTTAAGCATTCAACACCACCTGAAGAAAGCCACTTTGACTCTGTAGTGACTTCATCCCCAACCCTTCACAACTACCACTAAAGGCCATATCCTTCCCAAGGTGCAGAATTCTTCCCACTAGAGCTTTCAGGCCATCACCACCAATTCTTGTGAGTTGGAAATGATAGCCATTCTCTACCTTAACCAGGGCACCTCTTTTATATTGGCGTCCCACCCTCAGCCCTGAGGCTGTAGGTATTCTAGCTAAAAAGTGGGAAGCGAATACAATCTACAGCTCATTATAACTGGGTAGCTTTGAACACCGGCACCTCCTGAACACAGAATTGGAGTTTGGGCCATAAGAGTAAATAGACAAGATCTTTTTGGAACTCAGCCAAGGACTGTCTGAACAGATTACACACCACTATGCCCTTGTGACAGTCATGCTGTTGGTCTCCCAGAACCGAGAGATGCTATAAGGATGGGTTGCTTGTGTTTCTTTGTGCAGCCTTCCCGTGACATAGAGAGTCTGGACACTCTCACACTCGGCCCCAGGGCTAGAGCTTGTTTGCATCCACCTCTCGTATAACCTTAGAAATGGATTCACTAGAACTGTGAAGTGTGAACTCTGCTTGGGTCAGTCAGGGATTTCCCTTCCAGTGGTGTCAGTTTCCAAATGACAAATCGTATATGAGCACCTTTAAGGGGTCTTATGTCATCAACCTCACAAGAGCCCTGAAAATTACAGCAAAGGAAAGGAACTGACGGGCTACATAGGTTAGAGTCATACAAAAGCCACTTCTAGCTGATGTTTTCATGAGGAAGTGGGATACATTTTCTCATCTCTCTT